AAATTCTCAGCACAAGGGTCTTGAATCACACTGCCAGCAGAAAGAAGGAACTTGTCACGATCAGACGCACATCAGCTGAGCTCTGTTCTGAGCCATGATCTCTGATGAATTGTGCACTTGTTGTAATTATATCCAGCGCTTTTGAACTTTTAATGGGTTTCACTCACACATCCATTAAATGACTTCCCACAGCATGCTTTTCATATCAATTTTATCTCTCCTTTTTTTTTTTACATTTTTTAAGTCAATTTATAGTGGATATGTGTTTAGTCATGGAAAACATTTTGTGATTTAAAAAAAAATCTATTATGTTGTAAATATGCATTTTTCTAGTTATATATAAAAAAATTCTTTCTTTCTTTTTTCTTTGTTTTTTTTATTGTACCCAGCTGAATAGTGGTATGGAAATTTCTTTTTTTATGTATTTAGCACAGTTCATAACTGATTTTCAGTTATATTGAAATCATATTGTAGGCCTAATTCTAAATAGACTTTAATAAATACAATTAAAATTACATAAGTTTAAAATAATTTAACCATAAGTTAATTGCTTAAGTGCTTAAAAAGGATGAATGATGAATTGACATTAAAAAATATTAGGAAAAAAATCTATGATAAAAGCATTTCAATTTAACATTCTTTTAGTCCATTTGAAATGTAAGTTATGAAAATAAATATTTTTCCGGCAATCGCAATATCCGTCATTTGAAGTCAGTTTAGGCATCACAACATTATAATTAGGGCTGGGCAAAAAAAATAGATTTTTCGATTGATCGTTTTTTTTAAATGATGTCGATACAATATCGATTCTCAAAAGCCGCGAATCGGATCTTTTCCGGTATTTATTTCAGCAAACATTTAAAGGTGAAATATCATGAAAATCTGACTTTTCCAGGTTTTAAGTGCTATAATCAGGTCCCCGGTGCATCTACCAACCAAGGAAACGTGAAAAAGATTAACCCAGTAACTTTGTTTTGGGAAGCCTTTTTCTGCAAGAACACTATTTAGAGTCCCAGCCTCAGAGGAGACAAGAGAGCAGTGGATTTATTGATTTATTTAGTGTATATTGCTGCAATAAAAACTTAGTTTAGTACTCACATGCTGTGACAGATGTTTTCTGTCCGTGTGTTTCGGATGTGTGCACTCAGAAAATCAGAAGTTTAAACTAATAATGTAACTAATAAACATGATAATCAGAACCAAAACATGTTTTTTTAGCAGGTCTGAGCTGTAAAGCAGCTCTGTTCTGGAAAAGGGGGGCGGGGAGCAGCAGCTAATTTGCATTTAAAGACACGGGCGGAAAAACAGGGTGTTTCTGCTTCCACTCAAAATAGGCATTTTCAAAATGATATAATAAATGATCTGTGGAGTATTTTGAGCTGAAACTTCAGACACATTCTGGGGACACCAGAGACTTATATTACATATTGTAAAAAGGGGCATAATATGTTTCCTTTAAAACAAGATCTGATTAATGTGAATCTTATCATTAGTCTTCTCCACTAGATGTCACCCTCTTATTTACCTTACGCAATGTTACAACGGAAAGCATGTCATTCATTCAGTGCTTATCATGGCGACAAAGCAATATGTGTGATTTGCAATGCTCAGGTAAAATTCTATAGTAATACTACAAATCTGTGGAAGCATTTGACATCACGCGTAAAGGCGCCATGATTTCCACGAATGAATGAATGAATGAATGAATGAATGGTGGATGGTGTGACGTTCATCTCCAGCTGCTCTGAGAGTCACTTCATTAGCATTTTACCGTTTAATTAGACAAAACTACCGTCATATCACATACACAGCAGCTGCAAGTTCCTCATGGCAACCCGTCAAAATAAAAGTTTAGTTTAACGTGAAGAAACTGTGTCAGAAATATATTACTATATAGCAGTCTTAAGACTCAATGTAACAACACTGCTACTACTACTAAGAAATATGAATAAATCTTTATTTTTCAATGAATAATCACATTTGGTTTCTTTTTAATTTTACACAATAAACCGTAAACCTCTGTTGTGCAGCACTTTGTTTGCCAAAAAATAAAAGGGTTTAATTTTCATCTGATTAGGATAAATTAAATTAATGTTTTATGCCTTCATCTGATTACCAGAAAAATTAAGAAAAACATTTTATAGGGCACTATTATTGTTTAAAAAA